ATTTTTATAAAACAAGATGACAGACTTAAAGAAGCTTCACAGGTAGTGTGTTAAACATGCCTGTCCAGAAAATCAAATCCATAGACACCTAAGTATATATGATAAAGAATTGTCTCACACAATAATAGAGGCTCAGTCCTAAATCTGCAGTCCGGTCAGTGTCCAGTTGAGTCCTGAAGACCAACAGACTGGTGTAACCTTAGCAAGAGCCAGTTTTTCCGTTAGAATTCTGTTACTTGGGGGTGGGGGGACTCAGTATTCACTTCTGGCCTTAAATGGAAGGGATGAATCTCACTCATGTAATGGAGAGCAATCTGATTTAATTAAGTCAAATGATTTAAATGTTACTCTTATCATAGCCAAACCCCCAGAACAATGCCTCACCAGCTCTCTGGCACCATGTGGCTCCACCAAGTAGACATATTAAAGTCTATAATCATAGTCAGTAGGTGCAAGTATTTCTGGGGCAGATATCTTAAGAGAGATAACCAGATGCGCATTATATAGCCATTTTTTTTATATTTGCTCCTTTCTCTAAACCTTTAATCTTTTAGTTTTTATTAAAATTTTCTCACAATATATTTTGATCACACTCTTTCCTTTCCAATTCCTCTCCACCACTATTGAACCTCATATTCCCTGTCGAAAACCAAAAATCCACAAAAATCTAATAAGGCAAAGAATAACTCAAGCAAAACAAAATGAAAAGAAAAAGCCCACAAAAACAATAACAACAAAACAAAACAAATCTCCAAGACTCTAGACTCTGTTTTCTACTGACCAACTATGCCTAGTCAGGGGTCTGTCGTGGACTGTGGTTGCTATACCCAGGCCATTCCACGGGAGAAAACGGATTTTCTTTTTTCAGCAGGTATCAATTGCGAAGAGCTTCTTGACCTGGGGTGGGATTTTGTGTTCAGTCCTCTCCTCAGTGCTGGCATCAGGTGTGGTTTGAACACGGCTCCGGTCTCGTGCCTGTTGTCACAGGCTCTGTGGACACGTGTTTCATTCCTGTTGTGTTGAGAAGACACTGCTTCCTTGGCGTCATCCATCACCTCTGGCTCTTACAATCTTTTTGCCTCTTCTACCATGTAAATAGATCCCTGAGCCTCGAGGGGAGGGGTTTGATGATGACATCTCACTTAGGACCAAGTGCTCCAGTCTCTAACTCTCTGACAATTGACCAGCTGTGGGTCTTTTTATCATCTGCTGCAAGAAGAATCTTCTCTGATGAGGGTTGAGTAAGAGGCACTGATCGATGGGCATTATGTTATTAGGAGTGATTTTATTGCTGCCCCTTTAGCAGAATAAGAGTTGTAGGTTTTTCCTAGGGCCCATAAGTGACCTCAGGTTCTTGATCAGCTTAGCAGTTTCGAATATGGATCCATCTCATGGAGTAGGCCTTAACTTAAACCGAGTTCTAAATAATATAACTTAGACTTGTAAGTACATTTCATTTGCTTGCTTTTTAATAATCAAGTTTCCTCAACTACAACACTTTTGACAATTGGATAGCTGTTGTGTGGCACAGAATATTTAGCTGCACCCCTGACTTACACCAGCTAAGTGTCCGTCACACCTCCGACTGGATACCAATAGTAGCCTCCTACCCCAGCATGCAGCTAAACATAATTTTAGGCACTGCAAATGTACTCTGAAGTTGAGCAGTGGTGACATATACTTTTCGCCCAGCACTTGAGAGGCAGAGGCAGGAGGACCTCTGAGTTCGAGTTCAGCCTCGCCAGCATAGGAGTTCCAAGCCAGTCAAGGCTAGTGAGACCCTGTCTCGTAGGAAAAAAAAAAAACAAGCAAGTGTACCCTAAGGGGGGAAAATTGCCTGTCTAAGTACCGTTCTGAACTGATACCTATTTGCCAGTAGCTTGTTGTGTGGTGGTCTCATTAGAAAGCCTGGAGAAGGATTTTCTTAAACCTTGCCTTTTTCTTTAACAATGATGCAATCTTCCGGCATATACATACACTTTTTAGGAGGAGATGCGAACACGTGTCTACTCATTGGAGACGGAACCAAAGACAGACCAAAGTAATGATTCCAGTGCAGTGTACCTCATTCCATCAATGATCTTATTGCATGTACTTGCAGGAAGATGGGGGTACTGACCCCCCAACAGCTACATTGCTTTATTCTCATCCCAGCATGAATGATAACGCTGTCATCACTGCATAGGTGGAGTCTATTCTTCATTAAATGGTCTACCGGCTATGTTTTAGTAACTCGTAAAACCACATGCAGTTGGGGCAGAACTACATGTGGATGGCAGTAGGCTGCAGAAAGCAGCAGCTGGAATCTTAGCTGAAGGTCTGATGACTCTCAAATTTCTGTTCTATGCAGGAATGTCAACAGTCATAACAGCTGTTCTGGGTAAGGCAGTGATGGTGGCTAATGTTTGTAGGACCGCAGTTCACACCTTCAGGGCAATAGCACACACTTTACAAATCTGGACTGACTTGCATCTAATTGTCTTTTCCTATTACTTGCAGGGATGCAAATATAGTAAATATGTGTAGAGTCAGGGCAGGGTTATGTGTACGGGGTGGACACTTCCAATATTCCCAATAGTCTCAGCTTTAAGGGCAACTTGGTGGATTGTTCTGAATTCTGACAGACTTAGACTGCAATGTCTTCATAGGAAATTATGCCTGCTAAGTGTTTTTCTAGATTATCTAAGATGTCGCTTGACAAACAGTAACAGGCTTGGATTAGGAAGCTATGTGATCCATTTTATTTACCACCGGATAGGGAAATCTCACTTGTTAGGGTTAAAAGGATAAAAGCAACAGGGTTTGGTTCGACATAACATAATTTCAAATAGTTTGAACAGAATTTCATGTCCAGTGTGGCTTTCCTTTCTTCTTCCTTAGCTGAGCTCCGACCAGGATCACTGAAGATGGAATGCACACCTGTCTTCTCTGAACGCTGGCGTGGCAGCCTGAGGTGCCCAGGTGTGCTCACTAGAGTGCAGGAGTGTGTGCTTTGCTGGATTGTGATGTGCCACCCAGGGAGCTAGAATAACTTCAATGTGAAATTTATCTGCAATGGCATCTATTTTCCTTTATCATCTGTTTGCTGTATGCTTGAGTTTCCAAAAAGACAGCTTGATTTCCTGACTCTGAATCCTGGGCCTGACTTCCATTTCTATTATTTGAACCGTGCACGTTCTTTGTGGGACTCAAGTTTTATTGTCTATAAAATATGAACAAGAACTGGACATAGTGATGCATGCATCAATTCCAGCACTTGAGAAGTAGAGGCTTGCAGATCTATGTGAGATTTTAAGCTAGCCTGGTCTACATGGTGAATGCCAGGACAGTCAAGGGATACACATTGAGAATTTTTCTCAAAATAACAAACAAAAAATGAATTAAAATGTGGACAATATTTTTCTTTTAGGACTGTTTCAATGATGAAGCAGACTATATATTGACTTGTATACACCGTGCTTGGAACAGAGTGCATAATTATATGAGTAACAAAATAGAATTTTTTCTTAAAATTGAGCTTTATTTTATGTACATTAGCATGGAGGTGTCAGGTCTCCTGGAACTGGAGTGACAGACAGTTGTGAGCTGCCTTGTGGATGGTGGGAATTGAACCTGGGTCTCTGGAAGAAAAATCAGTGCTCCTAACACCTAAGCCTCCAACAAAATGGAATTCGATCAGTAGTCAGGTATGGTGGCACATGCCTTTGAACATAGCACTAAAAAGGAAGAAGCAGGTGATCTCTGAGTTTGGGGCTAGCATGGTCTACAGAGTAAGTTCCAGGGCAGTCAGAACCACACAGGGAAACCCTGTCTTGAAACAAAACAAAACAACCAAAAAAGGATCAATAAAATAAAATAGTAATGAATTATAACCCATAGAATAAAATATTCACGTGTCCTCATTGGTGTAAAAAAATAACTGAACAAAGAAACTAAGAAAAAGGAAAGCTCTTTTTCACAGGGATTCCAATGAAGATCAAAAGAATGCAGGAATAGAGAAGATACTGCAGTCATGATCTTGGCTGCTAAAAATTACTGGGTGCCTTGCATCTCTTCTGAGACAGATACTGACTACAAAGGGGAAAATGGAACATCTTTCTGCCATGGAGGAAAGTGGCAGATGGCACTTTCACCAGGTGTTCAAGGCTGATGTCATGGAAATAAGACACAATGACTTTATGCATCCCCTGATCCGACACAGAGAGATGGACACACTACCACTGTGGTTCTGACCAAAAACCACAAGACTTCACGTCATAATAGAGAAAATCGGAATTTAGGAAAGCTCACAAACAGAATGATAAGCACTCATCCCGTGAGGTCATAAGAGAAGCAGAGAGTAACGGCTGTCACCATGAGGAAGAACAAGAGCAGCAGGATCCTCCAGGGGCCATCAGAAGAAAGACTTGTGACATCACAATAACGTTTCCAGTTTAACTGCACTGTGCTGATGTTGGTTTGTCAGTTTTGGTACCTGTGCATTGGGTATATTATTAGATGGTAACACTGGGAGAATCTGGGGAAGGAGACATGTGAATTACCTACATTGTTTCTGCAAAAATTGTGCCTACTGGAAATTACTTCAAATTAAAAAGTCAAAACATGTAAATGGAGAAGACTGCTGTATTTATCATCTGCCTGTCCTAGGTATACTTGCTCTTGCTAGCTTTGTGATGCACTGTGTGCCGAGACCATGCTTCAGAGAGAGGGAGTGTAGGAGGCAGAGGGCACCTGGCAGGCAGAGAGCTATGAAAAGAGACGACAAATAACAAGATGCAGTACTTCCAGCTTCCTTTCAAGCTATGACAAAGGCCAAGCAGGCACCTGTCTCCCCATGACAGGATCCCTTCTAGCTGACCTGCCTGACAAGTGTTGTGAGTCTAGTAGCTCACTTTTCTGTCTGATCTGACCAATCAGAAATGAAGGAAGGGGGCCTCATCCCACACACAGTCAAAGGAGAGGAGGAAGAAAAACTCAGTCTGCTTAACAAAGGCAGCATATGCAAGGCAGAGCTTCTTTATTGTATGAGCCATGAGCCAAAGGACAGGCTCACAGCATAGGTGTCCAAGAATCCCCATGAAGCGTTTGCAGTGACCAGGACTAACACAGCTACACCACTGTAGCTAGCAACTGAGCACTTGCAGCCTGCTGGCAACTGGACACTTCCTCAGGATGCAGGGTTAGAAAAGGCCCAGCTTCAAGGACTCTGACTTGCATAGGTCCAACACTCCCACTTCTAGAAGCTCAAACACTTCCTTTTTTATCTAAATGAGAGAAAAAAAACAATAGAAACATTAGCATCACACAAAAGTAGTCCTGGTGAGCAAAGTCCACACCTAGGATCCCAGGTGTTCATACAGATGCTATGGCCAGAATGAGAGAGGGTAAAGTCCACACCTGGGGTCCCAGGTGTTCATACAGCTGCTATGGCCAGAATGAGAGAGTGAAGTCCACAACTAAGGTGCCAGGTGTTCATACAGCTCTTATGGCCAGGATCAGAGTGAACCAAGTCCACACCTAGGATTCCAGGTGTTCGTATAGTTGTTATGGTCAGGATTAGCTAGGGAAGGTTCTGCCCATGTTTGATCCAAGTCACACAAGTAAAGGAAGAGGACTATGTAAAACATCAGTTTCATTAAAAGTTTCATCATAAGCCTTTATGTTTGCATCCATCCAAAAGAAAATGCCACAGAAACGTCCAGAGACTCCAAAGTGCTTTAGGTAAGCCAGATTTTCACGCAAGGATCCAATAAAGGATTGACTGCCTTGTGATAATTGTTAACGGCATGAATGTAATAATAAAACTACCTATGATGACAAGTTCCTGCCCCTGTACGGTGGATTCCTCAGATTTAACACCACATCACAAACCATCAAATCTGGCCTCGTGGCTGAAACTAGTTAAAAAGGTTCTTCATGGAGGCAGAGTGCACCCCACTATGTATATGTGTGTACATCTCAATGGATTTTAACTTGAACTGGTGGCTAATACAACTTGCCAGTCAATTATAATGAACTCGGTTCAGTTTGGGGAAGTAGTTTTATGTGGCAAATTAACCCCAAGCTTCAGTTACTGGCATGATTTAGTCCTGGTAGGTGATTGACAGCCTTATTTATTATTATATGACCCTCTCTCCACAATATCAGATTAGATTGAAAAATTGTTCCATGATAACATGGTGGGTGGCAAAATGAAATTTCTACATTATGAGGGCAATGAACTATTTTTCATAAATATACAGTGAGCTGTGTGTGCGGTGCCCAGAAAGGCATCCAGTCGTTCTGTTTGAATCCACTGAGACGCAGAAACCCTCCACACAAAATGAAAACATCTTTGTAAATTATATAAGTAGGTTTGGTGGGGATGTGAAGAAGCCAACCATGAGGCAGCCCCTCCTCCCCGTCTTTGGCAGAGATGAGTGTGCTTGTGATGAGAGGCACAGGAAAAGGGCAAGTCCTCCAGATCGGCTAGCTTCTTTGAAGTACAGATGTCCTAGTGAGGCAGGGGCCATGGTCATTTAGTGGGCGACCAAGCAGACTGTATATTACACATGGAAAGGATACAGTTATGTGTAAGCGGATGGGATGGCTCTATAATAGTTACCTCAGCGTTAAAGATAGAAATTATTTCCAAAGCTAGAATGTGCTGGCTCCTCAAGCCAAAGACTTTATTATTGGGTTTGAACTCAAGTTCAAATTGGGAAAAAAAAAGATTAAAGACAACAGCTGATTACACATTACCTCGGGAATGTCCATCATTCTCCTTAGCTTCTGATCTCTCCAGTTCCAGTCAAAAACCAGAAACTTTAAGGGGTTCAAATTAAGGCCATCTGAAAGACACAGCGAGAGTCGTGGTAGTAAAGACCTCACAACGTAAGCCTAGTAAAATGGTTTTCATCCTCCTGGTTGCCTCACTCGGGCCTCTCCCCCAGCAATGAACCTCTGCACACTGACGCTTGCTTGATGGGAAACACATGCCGCACTCTGACACAGGCAGCTTTATCACTGCTTCTGAGGACAGAGGAGCGACACCGGAGAAGCCTGTCAACACTCAGGTGTTCAGCCCTGTCTGTGAAGGCCAGAGGCTGGGGTCGCCTTTCTGACAGGGATTTGAGAAGCTGTTTCCTGTAAACAGGAGACATTGGCCTTCAGAAGGGATGAGAGCACTGGAGCCTGCCTGATTCTGAGGAGGTGCCGGGAAGGATGCTGACGGGGCTACCCGATGAGGCTGGCGAATCAATCATGTATAGATTGCACCCACTCCGTTGCCCGGTTTACCTAGAATTATTGCACATGAGGACTGGAGGAGACCCAGAATTGTTTGGTCCTCAGGTCCTAAAAGGTGGGCGCAAACCCAGCTCTTGCAGTTGTTCCAAGGTCTTGCCCGCTATGCTTGCAAACAGTACCCGAGGCTCCCCCGCATGCAGCTACTCCCCGCAGCCTATCCCTGCTCAGTCTTCCCTCTGCCCCAGACACTTTCCATGCCTCTTACACTATCTTGTATTTGCAACACTCTCACTGGAAGTATCATAGGAAACAGGGAAAAAAGAGACTCAGTGTTGCAGAACGCAAGCAGAGAAGCCCCCTCTTGAACTCAGGACCTTTGGAAAAGCAGGCAATGCTCTTAACCACTGAGCCATCTCGCCAGCCCCAAAGCCCCCTCTTGAATGGAACCACCTTTACCCAGAGCTTTCAAACATGCACTGACAAAAGAGCGAGCTTTCTGTGATGTCCCAGTTAAAAAAAACTTACAGAAGCTTAACGCTACTTCCAATGATGATCACTGTTTAATACATAACTTTTAAAATAAAATCCAAGTATTCTATACTAGAAGTATTGCAGACGAACAATGTAATACATATATATTTCAAATGAGAAGTAAATCAATTTCCTAAGAAGGAAAATCCTCTAAAGGTACAAATATATGTATTATAAATGAGGTATATATATTATATTTATAACATAAAGTTTCTCTCTCCCTATATATACATATAAAACAAATACATTGTAACCATATGGAATGTTATATAATCTGTTTTATAAAGACATATACTTGTTGTATAAAAACTGGAAGGCAGTATACTCATAATTAACTAGAAATTATCTCTGCTGGGCGGTGGTGGCACACGCCTTTAATCCCAACACTTGGGAGGCAGAGGCAGGCGGATCTCTGTGAGTTCAAAGGCCAGCCTCGTCTATTACAAGAACTAGTTCCAGGACAGGCTCCAAAGCTACAGAGAAACCCTGTCTCAAAAACTTAAAAACAAACAAACAAACAAACAAACATTTACTTAGCACATGCATGTGTGTATCTGCGTAGGCCTGCATGCCAAAGTCAGAGAAAGGAGGTCAGGGGATAACTTTGAGGCATTGGGCCTCCCTTCCACCACGTGTCCAGGAATCAAACTCAAGACCTCAGGCTTGGTGGTAAGCACTGTTAACCGCTTAGCCGTCTCCCCTGCTCCCCTGTGCCTTCTGCTTTCCTCACAGGCCCAGAGTCAGAACATTTCCTTAGTTGCGAAATCTCTGGAGCTGGTTCCACAGATCGCAGTGCTATGGGATGGTGCTCACGTCTGGAAACTCTCCTCAGACAGTGAACGGATCTGTACTGTGTTAAGATAGAGTGACCTATGTGACACCGCTCTAGTTCTGGCAGAACCTCAGCTCCCAGGGTGCTGGGCTATTTTCATAAACACCTTCCATGTAATCTAACACCACGGCTAACATTTTAACTATTCATCCAATTAGATTCAGAAGTAAAAGTTTTCATTAATATCACATAAAACATCAACAGCCCAACATTATTTTTCCATATGAAACAGGCCGTCATATAGAGTTTCCCCAACTCTCTAGAAATCTAATAAACAGTTTGGACAGCTTCTTTCTGTCTGTCTCCCCCCCTGCCTTGCTGTTTCTATTTTAAACCTAAAAGAGCCCTGTTTGTAGGTGGTGGGGGATCGGGTAACAAAGAAAAAGTCATGGGTCCCAGAAGGGGCCAGCTGAACCTTGAGAAGAGAGCTGTGGGGGTGGCAAGAACCAACTTAAAAATCTCTCCCTGGCCTCTCCCAATGCCCACACAATTGCCTCAAATCTGTGTCTCTTAGAAGGACTTGGTACCTAACACCTGCTTTCTATGTCCACAAGATGAACACCCCAGTATCAAGGAACTCCTGGGGGAGGGGGAAGGCTCTGGAACTAAGGAGGCCTGGTCTGAGACCACGGGGGGGGGGGGGGGAAGGGGAGTCACCCATCTCTTCTGAGGCTATGCTTTCTCTCACAAAAGTCCTAGCCAGTAAGAATGCTATGGGTACCAGTTAGAAAGCACATACAAGGATGTCCAGCACAACACCAATACAAGAAGGAATTCAAAAAATGTTTGTCTCCTGTCTCTATTAGGGACTTCGGTGTCTTAATTCTTTGCCGTCTGCACAGAACCCTGAAGTCAGTGGGTTTAATTAGCTGTGGGTATTGTTACCTGGTGAGGATCCTTCCTGAGTCACAATATTGCTGAAGGTGTTGCTCTGACATATACAAAATAATTCAGGAATAGATCCAGAAGACAAAGTCACATTACTATATTAAGCGATTTGAAAATGAAGAATGAAATCAATAAATCTGAACCAGCCTCCCAGCTCAGGTCTGTGATGGGGGTTAACAAAGACCCCAAAATCAAGGCCGGCCTAGGCAGCTTAGTGAGACTTCCTCTCCAAGTACAGAGTAAAAAGAGTACTGGTGATACAGTTCAGTGGTAGAGCATTTGCCTAGCATGCGTATGGCGCTAGATCCAATTTCCAGCACCGTAAAAACACACCACCCCGCAAACCTAAAGGTCTAGTCAAGAACAGGTAATAGGGGTACCAGAAGGTTTTTGGGCTTTTGGCTCGAGGAAGTTTGCAAACTATTAAAACCCACCAAGAATCCTGGAAAACTTACTCTGCAAAGCACGAAAAGGGAAAAGTACTTGGGAGGAATATTCAGGACTATCTACCTCTGTATCAACTATAGAAATGGTATTTCCATTCCAGTACATTACATTTATCCCATCTAACTAGAGTGGAAGTCTCTGAGTGCCAAGCCTCAGCCTCCTGAGAAGGGAGTGTTCAGTATAGCATCCTCTACCAATTCCAAGTATTGCTAATGGGTGGAGCCTTTGTGGATCCATTCGGATGCTCAGAGCCACTGGAATTTGAATGTGTTTAGTGGGGCAAATGAATTTCAGTGGGCCACAGTCCTTGTCATATCCACAGCACTGTTCAAACCGGCTGGCTTCTGAAATCAAAGGCCAAGTTGACTTCCCACTGGGTGATTTACACAGAGGACTGTTTTTCTTTTTGTAAAAAAGCACCTCAAATGTGCTTCCTTAGACTCACATGGGGGCAAGGTAAATGTGTAGCTATTAACAGAATTCTCACTTCATACCTTGTTTAACAAGCTGTTTGATTCTCCCAGGAGTCCCCACACCCAGGTGTATCACACGCTTCTCCAGCAAGTTTACTTGCTCCTGGACCTTTCCAAGATGGAAGAGAAGAAGGAGAAGGCAGAATCATTAACAAGGTGTAACCCCAGGCCACGTTAGAGCATTGTATCTCTATATAAATAAAATAAAAAAGCAAATAGGACCACTCTTGTCCTGAACCATTTATTTATATATAAAACTGGCCAATGCCCAAAGAACTGGGACTCAGACCTGAGCTTCTATTCAAGAGCAGAAGCAAGGCAGTGACTGCAGGGGGCCAAGGTGACCGTGGAGAGGCACGGAGTGCAGAGAAAGTCGGCACAGTTGTTAGATTTGTCATATCGGGAGATTTGTCACATCGGGAGCAGATCAAAAGGAAGCGATTTCTAGGGAGATTAGAGAGGCTGAATGGAAATGCTGAGGCCTTGCAATGCTGTTAGGGACCACTTGCATCTCTTAGCAGAACTACAGGCGCCTGCTTACCTTTATGTGTTTTGCAAATAATTTCATAACTTTGGCATCTCCTTTGAATGCTGTCAATGACCTAATGAAAAGGAATAGATGAATTAATTAACTAATGTATTGAATAGATTATGACAATTTACTCATTTAAGAACTCACTATTTAGAAATTATAGTTTATCATTCAAGACTGTTCTAAATGTGTACAGTTATGTTTATATGTACACACAGGATGATCATCAGGCAAGTCCATCTCTGCAGTGAAACTGGAGTAGGCTTTCAGGCACAGTGGTGCGTGAAATCACTCAAGAGGCTGAGGCAGGAGGACTGGTGAGTTTGAGACCAGTCTAGGTAACAGAACAAGATACTATCTCAAAAAAGAAAAACAAACAAACCCAGAAATGGGGAAAGCCTTTTGCTCAGGTACATATCTGGGTGTCCTTCTGAGTTAAACACAAGGCCAGACACTATGGTTTCTTTGATGATTCAAACACATGTATCTGCAATTCTGATTACAAGGGGGCATCTCAGAGCAGTGGTGTCAGCCTGTGATCGGGAAAGCCCAGGCATCTGAAAGTCTGTTGGGGTGTCCAGACGGAACCACAGGATGAGTGCACCAGGGAGGAGGTCAGAACAGCCCCCAATTTCTATTTTGTAGACTGAACTTCTCTGTGAAATTTCATACATGAAAATATTCCAGCCTAAAGGAGAGAAGGAAGGGAGGGGAGAAGGCAGGAAGGAAAAGAGACACCGGACTGTGGATCTTGATCCATGAGAGCAAGTGGGACTCATGCGTGAGTGAAATGAGTCTTTAGGTGGCAGCTGTGAGGACTGAGGGGAACCGGAGACCACGCGTCCAAGATGAGAGATTACAAAGCCAGTGTTAAGTCGACTTTTGGAGTAGTCAAGCATCTAGGTTTTTATATGTGCAATGTAATGAATCAATCTCTCTCTCCCTCTGTCCCTCCCTCCCTCCCTCCCTTTCATACTAAACAGAGTTTTGCCATATACCTGACACTGTCCTTGAACTTGTCATGCGGGCTGTCCTCAAATTTGCAGTCCTCCCATTGCTGCATTCTCAAATGCTGGGATTGCTCGCATGCAGCAGTCTGCTCAGTTTCATTTAAATTTTCTAGGGCCCAAATGCTACTGGGTAGACTCATCCTTGAGTCACTGTCACCTGGTACACACTGAGGTGGTACACTCATTGTTTTAGGTATTCAACAATTTGGATCTATTTAGTGACGATAACACCTGGTAAGTAGGTGAGGTCGTCCTTTCAGTTCTAGGTACTCAACAGTTTGGATATGTTTCCATGAACTGAGATGATCAGTTCTGAGTCAAGGCTGCCTTGCTTGGTACCTCAGAGGAAAGGCTTTAGAAGGACCGTTCTGACAGTAGGCCCTCACATTCTACAGCTGCTCTATGAAGAGCCAGGTTACACCATCTGCACATTATTTTATTTGAACTCACAGAATGCCATGTGTCTGTGACTGACATTTCCAAACACATCCTATCCACAGAAGTTGGGTCCACCTCTATAACGTAACAAGGCTTTATGGAAGAGATCATGAACACCAGTTCCAGCTGGCTTCATCTGATTTTCTGATGTTTATTGTTTTATTTTTAACCATATGTTTCTCATTTGGTGTATTTCTGCATATCACCTAAAATTCTGTTTTGAGTTAAAGTGGGTATAATGAACAAGAAAGTTTTTAGTTAAGATTTGGAGTTATACTTAAGATGGGGTATTACTATCCTTTATGTCATTATGGTTTGAGAAATACTATTGACCAGGAGGAAGATAAACAGTGAAACATGTGACCTAATCTCTATTACAAGTGAGTTCTTAATTACACATAGACATTCTCCCTTGCAGGGTTAACAAGGGAAACAACAGGACTATGGCTGTCAAGAGAACAGATGTCCTTACAATAGGATTATTAAACATTGGTCCTTGAGCCTGCTCAGATCACACTTTGTAATTCATTAAACTTGAAATGGATCATAATATATCTGGGGACAGTTGGTAAATGCAGTGTTACAACACAGTGCTTTTATGTCCCTTAGAAAGGAATTTATGTACAGTAAAAGCTCGAATCAACATGACAACTTGTTTTAGAGAGGTCACATGTAGGCCAGCTTCTTTGCCATTAGCATGTCATCTTGCACTGGGTTCTGTAGTCCTGTCTAAAACTCAGAAAGGCTGGTGTGAATGCTCTGATTTCAGGGCCAACAAGTACAGATGGATACCCAGGTAAACAGGAGTACTGAAGATCAATTATGTTAGGAGCAGACGTAGTTGAAAGGAGCATTTCGCTTTGCTGGAGGGTGTGGGGCATGATTTAATGTGTGTGCAGAGGTGGAGAAAGCAGAATTTGAAGGGACAGTAAAGTTTAACAACTACTTTTCTAAAATCATGATTAGATTAGTTCATCTAGAAAAACAGGTGTTAAATCGCCATGGGGTCCATACACTTGCACCTTAGGGTACTTGACAGAGCTCCTGTTTCAAGACACAGACTTCCTTTGTTTTGTCTCCTGTCAAAGGCTGGTTCCCAGACAGGGCTTTTCCCTGTAAATGCCACCCTATTCTGTCTGTTCTTTGTTCTCTGAATGTTACACAGATCCAGTGGAAGATTCTTTCTGTTTATTCTGCAAAAAAGCAGCGAATGGAAATGCCTATGAAAGCTCTTAATAAAGTGTCAACTTATCTTTAATATAAATTTTTGGTCTGTTTGGAATTTATCTTCACAGAAGGAGTGAGACATGAACTTAATCATTACAGATGGCTACTCAGTTGTTGGACACAACTGTTGAACAATCTAGCTTCCTCTGCTGTCTTTGTCACCTTTTCTGGGCCCTACATTTTCACACGCATTTGGGTCTGCTTCTTCCCTTTCAGTTCTGGCCCACTTCTGCCTGTCCTGCACGTGACAGTCCCAGAGGCTCTGGACTATGACACACATATTGCACTCTGAAAGTGATAGCGCACCTTTTCGCAGTGGCCTTGAAAAACCTTTTTTTTTTTTTTTGCCATTTTTAGCTGTATAATTTTGTAAAAGTTTAAAATTAGTTTATCTAGTTAAAAAATTTGCTTGGAGTTTTACTTGGAAACCAGTGAAAATTGTAGCTGCTCCTAAGTAGAACAGGCATATTTACAACACCGCGTCTCCTTTCTCAAGAGTATGGTGCTCACTTTTCCATCCCCTGATGTTTTCTTTTCTTTACATAGGTTAGAAAGTTTGTTGCCTGGTATTCTGCCTTTCCTTGCTTCTAGTTTGAGTCAGATCACCCCTTCCATTTGCTGGCTGTTTTTGCTAGTGTGGTCTTGGTGCTTTTACCCTTGCCCTGAACAATGTGTTTTTCTACACAGTGGTGTAAATGCACCTTTAAAATGACTCACGGCACTCCCCTGCCCCGATTTCCTTTCCCAGCACTCTACGTCAGGGCTCACTGCTGCACACGGGAGATCTACCTCGGATCTCAGGTCAAGAAAGCCATGTGTCTCCCCTTTCACTTTGTTTGAGTCTCTGCTCCAATGTCGTCATTCGGGTCCCTCTCATTTCCATGCCTTGTTTTCCCTCTATAATGCATCACTCTTTAGGATACTGTCACGCACATCTACTGGCTTACTGTCAGCTTTTCCAACAGAGCGTACATCCCGTAGGGCAGGGACCCAGTGTTACTCATGGCACACAGAATGTACAGGCTGGCATCTATGAGGAAACACCCGGAGGCCCCAGCTGCCGACCCTGACCTGATGAGCTCCAGGGCTCGGATGGCAGAGCTGCAGATGATCAGCATCAGGACTGACTTCTTCTCGTTGTGCGTTTTTCGAAGCTTTACCCACTTAGGACAGACTGAAAGACAGATCACGAAAACGATTCCAAAGACAGCAAAACAGTGCTGCTAACACTGGATATTCTCCAATTATTTATTTCTAAGTGCTTAAGAAAATAAAACAAGCACTGACTGTTATTACATTTTCTGCTATTTCAGACAGCAGATTAAACTTTATGTTTAAAGCCTGAAGACACTGTTGACCAATAGGGTAACTCTGATTCAGTCTTGTTAGATCTTAGTTTAGCTTAGCCTTTTGTTTGTTTAGACAGGATCTCACTACATAATACTAGCTGGTCTGGAACTCATAGACATCCACCTGCCTGGGGCTAGAGACTTGGTTCACCACACCCAGCCCAAGTGAAATTTTAAAGAGACATCCAGCATAACCTAGAATGAACTGACAATAAATAATACTTCAAACTCATTATTTATTATTATGCTTATTAAATAGGCTTAGAATTTCAATATTTTAAAGTTTTCATGCCAGGATATTATCCCTACTATAATCCAGATTTATATTTGTAAAGTTATATTCTGAGAAATGTTTAATAAGCACAAATTTGGTATCATTGTACCACTAAAAGGCTGAAAGAAGAATGTCAAATCGCTCTATGTAAGTCACATTATTGCTGGAAACAAGTAAATGATATTTTGTTATGAATAATCTAGTTTTTTTCTGGTTATACACAATACAAACTAAAATATCAAATCAGATTGGCTGTAATAGCGAGGTCTGAATTCTGAACATGTAAACAGATGTTCTTCTAGCTATTAAAAATCACATGGCTCAGTTTCTTGATCTTTCAGGTAAGAAGGTAAAGTTCAAGAAGACTGGAGGCTCTGGACTAGGGCATCACTTTCCAGAGCCCTAGACTAACATCTAATACATTATAAACCCAAATGAGGCCTGCACCCAAACTCCCGAAGCCAGAGCAAAATGGAAATACATTTAGACATTAAAACAGCACATCAATTAACAAGCATCACAATGTGGCCTACAATCTCAGCATGTGAGAAGCTGAGGCAGGGGAATAATGAGTTTATTACTGAGCCCATATAATATAACTGAGAAAAACAGATGGAACCATAAATACCTCTCCACTTAAGCTAGAAACTCATAATTTTAAATGTGGTGATCTATCTATCTATCTATCTATCTATCTATAATACCACATTAAATAAAGTTGCAATGTATAGGTTTAATTTAGAGAGACTAACCTTACTTATTTTGGGTTTTGAGTTTCCCCTGATAGCCCAGGCTAGCACTGAATAAGCGTTGCTCTTCCTGCTTTAGTCTCCTGAGCATGCTGGGATTATGGCTGCACTGACAAACCCGACTTCAAAACTGTTTTTTTTTTTTTTTTTGTGGAATAATGACCTGGGAAATAATTTTTAAAACATCAGATTTTACTTACTTTCTTTTAGATATGAAGAGAGACTGTGAGTCAAATCATTGGCCTTAAGGAAACAGGAGTCTAGAAATACGAGAAACATGCTTTGCTGAGAACTTTGCAAGCACACAATCAAAACAGATTAATATGAATGATGAATTCTTTTTTTTTTTTTTTGGTTTTTTGAGACAGGGTTTCTCTGTGGTTTTGGAGCCTGTCCTGGAACTAGCTCTTGTAGACCAGGCGGGTCTCAAACTCACAGAGATCCGCCTGCCTCTGCCTCCCGAGTGCTGGGATTAAAGGTTGTGCCACCACTGCCTGGCTGAATGATGAATTCTTGAATGAGTTATAAAACGTGAGTGACTTGGAGGGTCATTATTTAGTGTTATTTAAAATAACAGCAGTAGCAATAATAGACTTTATTTTTTGAATTTAAAATATTTTATTTCTAGTTTTACATTTTTACTTAAAATGTATTTATAGCCCTTGTCCCTCTCCCACTCCCTTCTTCCCCCAGCTTCCCCATGTTTCCTCCCTCCAGGCCCTTCCATGCTCTCCTCTCTTAAATTGATACCATCTTTTTCTATTTTTAGTGCTAAACACACATATATAAATGTAACCTGTTGAGTATATTTTTGTTGTTTGCATATTTATGGAGATGACCACTCTGTGCTGGATAACCTGGGCTCGTCCCTGGGCTAGGAAGTTTTAACGCTCTAGAGTAGTGAAGTAAAGGTTCTGCACATTGTTTACAGACAGAGGAAGCATCTTTACACTTGCAGTCTATGAATGAGGCAAAGGCAAGATGAAGTGGCTGGGAAATTTGTGAGAAACCTCAAATCTGTTAGTTACTGATGCAGTGAGGGAGCACTCAGCAGAATGGCGAAGATGAGAAGATGCACGATAGGAAGAGCTATGGAGAATGTGGGCTGGTGTAACATTTACCAAATGAAGGTAGAATGGTCAATGGATAAACTTGTTTGGAAAGTAGTAATATTAAGATAATATACTCTGTGCTTCTCTGATTTATTTTCTGGGTAAATAAAGGAAATTTTTGTGCATTATAAAGGGATACACAAAAAGACTAATTTTGGCAAAATTTATGACCTTGAGATGTGGGAAGCCCTACAGGTGTCCACATCTGGGAAAAGGGGCGAGTGCTTTGTGACAGATGAAAGGGCTGGAACACTATGGAGCATCTCAGAGAAGTGACTTAGATGTACACAAAGCCACATCTGGCATATCTGAGAATAGTGTGATGCGAAGAAACAGAATGAGAGGCTCTGCAAATGTAATTTAGATAAAAATAAAGGTATATATCCAAATGGCATATAAAGTGCATGCACAAAAAGATGTAGCAACTGTCTAGAGTAAATATTTATGAGGAAAGGAAATAAAGCATAGATTTGGAAAGAATGGGAATAATGTATCAAAATGCAAAAATTCAGCCTAGCTATAAAATACAACCTGACATATCAGAATAAACAGGACCACTGTTGATAGTGACAGTCACAGCTTATGTAACATTATGGTTATCAACTCAATTCCTTCTATAGGAAAAGTTTCTGTGTAAACATAAGGGTGTTAGGGGGTGAATTATTACTGAATTAAGTTTGATTTAATTTAATAATACATATAATACATAACACTTTCTAAGTTGTTGTCTCAGTAGAGGCAGGGAGTCTCTGATGGTCTTTCCAGATGAGGTGAACAGTGACAACAGAATGGTCTCTACTTGGCTAAGTCCCTGAGGGTGACTTGTGTTTCCTTTGAGGAGACTCCTCGGTGAGTTGGTTGCAGCCAGACTAAAGGCACTTAGGGTCGCTGATCTAAACCAAACCAGCTCTCAAGAGACAGCAGAGGCTAATTAGTTCCCAGTGTTCTTTGGTCTGGAAATCCCTGGAAGTTCCCACGTGTAAGATGTTAGCTGTGTACAGCACAATTAGTGGTAATTAAGAGGACATGTTCCTGCCCTTCAGACACAAACAACCTCAGATTAAAATCCAGTCAGACACTTGACCGACTGATTAGAAACAATACTCTATTATTTACATTCCTTCTTTAACCTGTTCCTAATAACAAATGGCATCTTTTATCTCTCCAGGTAGCACAGTTACTACCCCTGGAGGCTGTTCTTGGTCATGGTGTGGTGACTAGGGTCTTTTCTAGGAAAGCTTCTAATGATGCCTTAACTGACTATGTCTTAAAATGGTCATCTATTAGCTGGTACTAAAGCCTACTCTTTCTGGCGGTTTCCAACATATTTTCTCCCTCCTAAAGAAAAAAAAAATCCATAAGTCTATGATCTTACACAGTCATGTTATGGGGCTTTAATAAAAACAATAATATAACACAAACTTATTATGTAACTTGGATGAATCCCAAGGGTTCCTTATAAACATTAGCTCTCAACAATTCTGCAGAGAATCAAGGTTTATGATATTCTCTGAGGTCATAGACTATCAGGATGTTCTTCACAAATCCTTCAGGGCACAAGTTACATGCTAAGGAAAACTAGCAGAAGAAACTGAGTCACACCAAAAACTAGACACCAGCCTCAGCTTGAGTGAGGATTTGTGACAGCAGGAGCAGTCAGGACACAGTCTCACACTTGAGCCAGATTCCAGAGACTGTTTGCATCCAAGTGCAAGCCTCCAGTTCCCTCCAGGGCAATTGTCTTGGAAAAGAACACACAGGGGCACTCCTGCTGCTAATCCCAAGGAGCATTTCAAAAAATAGTGCACAAGAATGATAACTATGCAGGGAACAGGCTGTTCCTCAGCTTCTCAAGCTTCTAGCACGCATAGAGCTGTAAGGGAAAGTCAGCTACTGTTGACTTCTTCCCCAAGTAGCAGGAGTAGCCTAGAAATAGCTTATCTGGGGCAGTGGTGCCAAAGCGCCTTATGGTTTGCTTTCAGGATAACATCTGGTTTCTCCTAGCCTTGCCCAGGAGTCTTACAGATGCACCACAATCTAAAAGCTCAGAGTAGGGACTGTAGTTTTGCATATCTTTGAAATTTTAAATAAGGCATGGGGCCTTAGACCATAGTGGCTTCTGTGAAATGCAGAATTCTATTACCAGGTTTGGTGAGTTGGCTTGAAAGAGTCTTGGGTACAACCGGAATCCTACTCCAAAACTGAAGTCATGACCACCACACAACAATACTGATGTGGGAGTGTCATATATCAATCTGTTGATTTCATTGGTTAAGCAATAAAGAAACTGCTTGGCCCTCATAGGTTAAAACATAGGTGGGAGGAGTAAACAGAATGGAAGGCTGGGAGAAAGAAGCTGAGTCAGAGAGTCGCCATGATTCTCCCACTCCAGGCAGACACAGGTTAAGATCATTCCTGGGAAGCCAGCTCGTGGGCTACACAGATTATAAGAAATGGGCTAGTCCAGGTGCGAGAGTTAGCCGAGAAGAGGCTAGATAGAAATGGGCCAAGCAGTGTTTAAAAGAATACAGTTTCCGTGTAATTATTTCGGGTAAAGCTAGCCATGCGGGCGGCTGGGTGCCGGGAATGTAGCCCCGCCGCTCCTATTACTACAGAGAACTAAAATGCTTATTACAAAATCTTGTTAATTTTTTGGAGATAGGGTGTTTATTCTATAGCTCAAGCTGGACTCAGACTTGCTGTGATCCATCTGCCTCAGGTTCCTGAGTTCTGGGATTCAGAGCCCAGCTTAACAAGCTTCCTAAGGCTTGTTCTTATTTATAAAGAAAGGTCAACAAAGTTTCACACCAAGACTTTTAAATGTCTGAAGTGTCCTTACGTGAGTTTAATATCTATCTTCATTAGAGACATTTATTCCTTGAAGAGTCTGCTAAAATTGTATACTGAACAATTAATCTTTCCAGTAAAAGATAAAGTACATTCACAAACCTTAGTATTCAATTCAGCAAAAACCATTTATTTTTTAAGAATCCCAAATAAATAACTAACAGTTAAAAAGTATTACATGGAGGGAAGAGGTTTAAGAGCAAGGAAAATGTATAAATTCCCACCAGTGGAGATTCCTATAAAACAGTAGAGAAGAAATGACCCTGTCTGTTCCCCGTCCTTAGGACAACTGACACGGGCCACACCTGGTAGGTTGAGCTCTTCTAGTTCAACTACAGAACGACTGCCGCTGTAATGGTCCTTGATAAGCTTCTGAAGGTCCCCAGGGGTCCCTGGTTTGGGCTCTGATTTTGCAAGAATATCAGAAATTTTCCTCTAAAAAAAGAGAAGAAAAAAATCAGAGCATTAGATTTTAGAATGGCATGTGGCATAGGTTCGTGTCTCTGGCACCTATCTTTTGGCGGTAGCTGAGTGGGAAACCTTATTGCATACTTCTTAGACATAGTGAATGTTTGAAACACGAAGAAAGGATCGAAAGGCCTCCTTGTAATGTCTGGTCTGTAGCTTTTGGAAGTGAAAACTTTGCATTCAGTTCAGCAGTAGGGTATTTTTCTGTTAAAAGTCTAGAAGTCTTCTTGCTATGCAAACTTCTCTTTTACTCCTAAATTCCCTGCACTCCTGAAAGAGCAGAATTTTGAGCACTTCTTGTACAATCTGGCTTTTAGGTGATGAGCCTCAGATGGATTTCTACAGACGAAGCTGAGCACAGGCGCTCACTGAAAAGGACTTGATGCTGATTGTCCTGATTTAGAAGGCAATCCCAAGGCCCCATGAAACACAATAGAACAGATGGCACAGAAGATACTTTCTCTCTTTTGATGTAGACTCTTTTGTAAAATGTTTATTTACACAACATACGTATTTATACTCCTTTTATTAAATGCTGTAATATATGGAAGTGCGATTGTCTATTTTTGTCATAAACTTCCCTTATTTCTTTGTAATGCTTCTCCAAAGACCCAGACTCCCCCACTCCCAGTGTCAGAACTACTCAAGGTCCCATCAAAGGTATCAACCTAATGTTGTCACCGTGGACATGACCTCTGCCAAGCTAAACTAGCAAGAGTTCTGACCTTGAACCTCTGGAACCTAACACTCCGTTCCTCAAGGCTGTGTGACTCAATTATCAAAGTGCACTTAAGGCATTTCTTTAAGGGCGTGCCAGACCTCAGCCAATTTGGCATGTTCTGCCTTTCTATTTGGGCATTTGCAAGGAAAGAAAACACACTTCTGCATACTTCTTTCTGAATGCTTGCTGTTAAACAGCAGACGGGGTTGGACCCTTTTTTCTCTCCTCAGCTGACTTCAGCAGCAGACTCTGACTGGCTGCAGAGAACTGCACCGCTGCTCTCAGTGTGGGAGATGCTCTCATGCTAGGGCCGCTCTGTAAAATGTCTGCATGGGAGCAACGGCCCTTCTCTGCACAGAGACACAGTATTTAGCAACGGCCCTTCTCTGCACAGAGACACAGTATTTAGCAACGGCCCTTCTCTGCACAGAGACACAGTATTTAGCAACGGCCCTCTCTGCACAGAGACACAGTATTTAGCAACGGCCCTTCTCTGCACAGAGACACAGTATTTAGCAACGGCCCTTCTCTGCACAGAGACACAGTATTTAGCAACGGCCCTCTCTGCACAGAGACACAGTATTTAGCAACGGCCCTTCTCTGCACAGAGACACAGTATTTAGCAACGGCCCTTCTCTGCACAGAGACACAGTATTTAGCAACGGCCCTTCTCTGCACAGAGACACAGTATTTAGCGATAGCCCTTCTCTGCACAGAGACACAGTATTTAAGAGGAGGGGGAGCAGCTGCCTCAATTATGGCTCAATTAGAGTTAGAAATACCTGGCAGTGCCTTCCTCTACCTGTTTTCATTTTGTTTTTACTTTAGTGTAAAGGCTTGACGCTGGAGTGAATAGGAAAAGGGGAATGGATTTTCTTGGATAAAAGTGGGGCAGTGGGTATAGGAGAAGCTCTGGGTCCTTCTAGATTAGAACCTGTGTATAATGCCACAGTGAAAACCCAGCAAGCAAGAAAGCCGTTGGTCTCTCACAGGAGTGAAATGGGAGTCAGAAAAGTTTAATTTTAGTTCCCCAAAGAAAATTTCTTCCTGAAGACCATAAGAAAGTTAACAGATCTCACTGACTCTTACAATTTCTGGATCTCTTAGTTGGGGGCTTCAACTAAGTATAACTTAGTTGAAATAACTTCACATAAGTATGATATATAAAAATGTCATGAAAGTCACATGTGTCCAGACCACTGTGACAAACTGTTGCTGGTACCTTTTTCCACTTCTTGGTCTTCCGGGCTTCCTCTTTTGTTTCCTTTGGTTTCCTCAAGAAACATTCTGTAGGCTGTAATAAAATATAAATGAGAAAACTTTCATCTTTGCAGGATGAAGTGTCACTGATTGCTATGAGTCCCGAAGCTTTTTCCGTCGTGCATAAACTCCTCTGAGTACCTTGGTCACATTCCATAGTGATGCTGGAAGACCCACTGGAGCTGTGATGCAGAGCTGAGCTGACAGAATTTGAGAAAGCACAGATGACGTAAGACTGGAAAAATCTTTGAACAGCGATCAAAATGTGTGAGTGAGTGAGTGTATATACGTGCTTGATGTGTGCAGATTATTAGAGATGGAAGCCAGGGGCTGGTTTGTAAGACGCTGGCAGAAATAGACGTGCTTAAAATGAGGATGTGGCAAGGCGGCCAATGACCAGAGCAACCGAAGTTTTCCAGGAGTTGCCTGTGCAGAAGGCTGCACTTCCAAGTGCCGTTCTTTATAGCACCCACTTCTTCCCCCTTTTCAAAAAGCAGAGAAAATCCAAGGTAGGATGTATTTACTTACGTTTTTACAAACCAGCTGTGCCAACCAGCTGGACCCATGTAGTCATTTAGAAATGACCACAGAATAAATGTTCTTTTAACGGACTGAAAACAAGCTCCACACTGTAGCACCAAGGGCGATTGATTTGCCAGTGGCCTTGAACCACAAGGACCCCATACAGTTTCATACTGTTTTTAAGCTGAGTTTCGTTCTTTAAGGTAGTAAAGCAGGAAATTTGGACTGAAACCTTGATTTATAAAATGAAATGTGCAGGTTCCACAGATATTAATCATAAGCTACTAATAAAATGTTTCCTGTGCTGAATCCAAGTAGAGGGTGTCTGTTTAACCAGTCAGTCATCGGCAGCCGAGGATGTCTGTTTACCAGTCAGTCATCGGCAGCTGCCTTTTCTCTACGACACTGTTCAAAATGATCGGAGATGAACATTTTTAAGAAAGTGAGCAGATTAAAGCCAGGCGTGGTGGCGTACACCTTTAATCCCAGAAGGAGAAGCAGAGGCAGGTGGATCTCTGTGAGTTTGAAACCAGTCTGGTCTACACAGTGAGTTTCAGGACAGCCAGAGCTACATAGTGAGACCCTGTCTCAAACAACAACAACAAAATCTGCAGATTAAAAATGCCTATGGCCTCAATCAAAGAGGGACACAATGGTCCGTAAGTTCTTTAAGATACTGGGCCAGCACCAGCACTGTTTAGACATTGTTCCAGGCAGTAGGATAGATTAAAATAACATGGGAATCTTTCATCCTTAGCTTCTTTACAGTTTCAACAAAAAGCCTGTGAAGACCAATTGCCCTGCAGTTTAAGAAAATAAAGATATTGTCTTTCTTACTTAGAAAGTTAAGCTGTCTTGTGGATTTAGATTCATGTCCATTTTATACTGGTACATGCCAATAAGAAACTGGGCCAAGGCCACTAATATGTCACAGGAGAAGCCAGATGGCCATGAACATCTAATTACAGAACAAGGAAGCATTGAGCTCTCCTTTCCAAGGCCAATGCCTGGATGTAATTAGCAGAGCCCCTAAAGCGCACATTGGACCGAGGCCTATAATCTCAACACTCAGGAGGCTGAGGCAGGAAGACAGCCACGGGGTCAGTGAATGAAAAAATGAAATGAAAAGAGGAGGACATGACTACTCCTAAAGTACGGGGATTTTAACGGTAGGGATGGAGAAAGAAGGCAAAGGGAAAAGTGCAGCCTGGGGCACCTCCCAGCATTCCTCACTCCGCTCCCTCCCCTAAACCTCTCCTTTCCAGGGGCTGGGCTTCACTTCCCTTTCCCCAGCCTGATCCCTATATATCTATATCCATCTATTTATCTCTATCTGTCTGACTGTCTGTCTGTCTGTCTATCTATCTACACAACCCAGCTATCTTGGCTACACTGGTCTCTTGGTCTCTTGGCCCATGCTGGCTTTCTTGCTCTCTCTTCAAATAAATGAGCTTATTCAAATCACCACAGATGGAAAATAGCTAAAGCCTCTGGCATGACACCCTGTGTACTGTCTTGTGAGGCCTATTCTTGACTGTGGCCTTGTGGATAGAGGCCATGATAGGACCCACACACAAGTCAACTTCCCCATAAAAGACTGGTGCATCGATTATACATGACCTATACCCATCGTCTGTGAAGGATTCAAATAGCCTCTTGTATGGATACCGTCATGGGCCTTTTACAAGCATTTCCATATAAGTGAGCAACAGTTGAAGCCACATCAAAGATATCACCCAATATAATGTTATGTATGGGCACCCACGGAGAAGTGACAGCGACAGGAGTGCTGATTCCACAGACGCATCTCTCCAGACCATGCAATACATTTTTCTAGAACAATATATAAAAACAAAAATCTGGGAAACCATGCCTCCTGGTTTACAGTTAGGAGAACATGGCCTTTTGATGGGCAAAGAAAGCAAAAGCCTCCCCTATTCTCACAACAGCTGATGTCAGAGTCAAGAAATGCTGTAGTGTGGCTATAGACGGACTTCAGTCAGTAGCTGTGATGCTCACAGACTATACAGTGTGGTTACAGACTGACTTCCAGGCCAATAGCTGTGATGCTCACTGACTATACAGCGTGGTTATAGACTGACTTCCAGGCCAATAGCTGTGATGCTCACAGACTATACAGTGTGGTTACAGACTGACTTCCAGGCCAATAGCTGTGATGCTCACTGACTATACAGCGTGGTTATAGACTGACTTCTAGGCCAATAGCTGTGATGCTCACAGTGACTATACAGTGTGGCTAGAGACTGACTTCTGAGCCAATAGCTGTGATGCTCACAGTAACTATTACCTGTTTGGTCTGTTTGGTTTCCTTTGGTGGTTCAGGAACTGAAGCTGTGTCCTGCTGCATCAGCTCTGTGTCTCCTTCCTCACCACCTGATGGTTCTGAAAGGAGACACAAAGTTCAACAGTTAAAGTGTACCCCTCCCACACTCTACTGAGAGATTTAGAGGCTTAATCTCTCCATCCTTTCTCTAGAAGGTGATTTAACAAAACTTACTTAAATTGGAGACTGATTTGAGCATTCAGATACCACAAAAGATCACCTAACAGTAGGGAATGTTTAATTATGTTACAGTTTGGGTCTGAAATGCCTCCTATGGTTTGATTAAGAAATGGTCCAACCAGGGGTGTGGTGTGCGTGCATTTAATCACAGCATTTAGAAGGTGGGGGAAGAAGGATATTTATGAGTTCAAGGCCGGCCTGGTCTACACTACACAGAGAACTCAAGATAGCCAGGACTACATAGAGAGACCTTATTCCCAAAAAGCACTGAAACCAAACCAAACCAAACCAAACCAAGCCCAAGACAAAAGGATGCAATAGTGCAACATCTAGAAATTGGGGCTTAAACTTTGAAATTAGGCTCTGGGGCTGTGTGCACTTGATCAGTACAACTAGCCCCTACTTCCTAGAGGCTAAGTCTAGAAGGCTGTGTGCACTTGATCAATACAAGTAGCCCCTACTTCCTAGAGGCTAAGTCTAGAAGGCTGTGTGCACTTGATCAGTACAACTAGCCCCTACTTCCTAGAGGTTAAGCCTAGAAGGAATGAAAAGTTTTATACAATCACTATTTCATCCAAGCTAAACACTACAGAAAAATGGTGTCCCTATCTGTGGCGGTCTGAATAGGAATGGCACCATGGAGTCATATTTAATGCTTGGCTTATCGGGAGCGGCACTCCACTTGTTGGAGGAAGTGTGTCACTGTGGAGACCAGCTTCGAGATCTTATATGCTCAAGCTAGGCCTACTGTGACTCTCCTTATGCTCCCTATGGATTAAGATGTAAAACTATCAGGTCCTTCTTCAGCACCATGTCTGTCTGCATGACACCATGTTTTCTACCATGACAGTAATGGACTAAACCTCTGAACCTGTAAGCCAGCCCCAATTAAATGCTTTCTTTTATAAGAGTTGACATGGTCATAGTGTCTCTTCATAGCAATAGAAACCATTACTAAGACACCACCCCTATCACCAAAGGCCTAGACTCTAACCTAGGTGGGCTATAAGGATGCCTTCGATTCTTCTCCTCCTATCCCAAGGGTGTTTTCAGAGACTATCCAGGAGGGAGATGGGAGATGGGTTTGTTCCTCACCATTTCTGCAGCACCAACAGGGAACACCTTGGGAGCCTTAAATTCTAAATTCCCCTATTGTAAGAAAGTTGTCTTTCCCATCCCACTGGGTTGATACTGAAGGAGTCTAGTGGTGAGTCAGGGCCTTCCTATTTATTTATGCATCTTAAAGTTGGGATACAGAGTAGAGCTGAACCTTCCATACTCCTGAGCAATAGTGAGGTCTAAAGCAGCATCTAAAGAGCATATACAGATAAACAATAAGATAAAGATAAAATGAAGGGAGGTCATCAAACACATTCATAGGAATGTGTCTTCCCATAGGAAGATAGGAAAACGAAAGCAAGTGTAAATTACAGAAAGTAGATGGGAAAAGACCCCAGCAGACTTAAACCCCAACACTTCATTCTATTACAAAGAAAGGATGTGGTGGCTGGAGAGAAGGCTCAGCTAGTATAAACACTTGTTCTTTCAGCTCCGGCAGCCATGTTCAGTGATGCCATCTGTTACTCTGGCTCCAGGGGATCTGATGCCATCTTCTAGCCTCCACGAGCACTGTCACACATGTGTACACACACATAAATAAATAAAGAAAATAAATCTTTAAAAAGGGTGTAAACATACCAACTCAAAGACAAAGACTAATAATAGAATGGATTAGAAAATGTGACCTAACAATATATTAGTTGTAAGAAACAAAGCTAATATAATGATATAGGAAAGCTCAAAGGGACAGAAGACAGAACAGCAAACACTGGTGAAAAGGAAAGCTACAGTGGGTGCACAGGTATCAAAGTGGACAGCTGTCCTGGTTAGGTTTCTGACCAAAACCAACTCTGGGAGGAAAGTCCCCCCAGCCCCAGCTTACAACTCACAATCTACCACTGAGGGAATTCAGGGCAGGAATTCAAGGCTGAAACCGGAATCAAAAACTGAACAAGAGGCCATGAAGGAACAGTGCTTATTGGCCCACTCCCATAGTCTGCTCAGCCTGCTTTCTTATACCTTCCAGGGGTGGCACTGCCCACAGCGGGCTGGGCCCTCCCCGCTCCCACATCAACCATTAATCTGATTGGCACCACAGGCTTGCCAAGAGGCTATCTGAAGACAGTTTTGAAACTGAAGTTCCCTCTTCCAAGATGACTCCAGTTTTTGTCAAATTGACAAAAAGGAAAAAAGAAAAGAAAGAAAAAACAAAAGAAAAATAACTAATGAGAAAGCATAGCAGCACAACAACAAAATTTACCAGAGAATTCGAGGTGAGAGAGAAGAAATAAGGTGAAACACTCTTCCCTCTCTATCTCTGTCTCTCTTGGTTTTTTGAGACAGAGTTTCTCTGTGTAGCACTGGAAGTCCTTGGATTCTTTCTGCATGCCCAGGAACTCGCTCTGTAGACCAGGCTGGCCTCGAACTCACAGAGATCTGCCTGCCTCTGCCTCCCCACTGCTCAGATTAAAGGCGTGCACCACCGCTGACCGGCAAGAGAGAGTAAATCTTTTAAGAAGATACAGTAATCTAAAATATGTGTGTACCAAATCATGGAGCTACAAAGCAGGTGGAAGCAAAGCCTGACACGTAGGAAAGCAGAGACAGAAAAACCCACAATTTTTGAAAATTGAGAGAATGGTTAAATTAGCTAAGATACAGAATTGAGGAGCACAAGCAAGCAACAGCATCTGATCAAAATTTGTAAGGTGGTTGCTAGCTGCCATGTGGGTACTGGAAACCAAACTTGGATCTTCTCAAGAGCAATGAGTATTATTAACCTCTGAGCCATATCTCAAACTCCAAAATATCAACTGATTAAAGGACTGAAGTAGATATGAGTATGTATAACAATGCTCAGTGAACCTTGTCCTTAATAATTACAGACTTAACAGCGTATTATGAGTCAACAGGGCAAGGATGTTAAAACCTCAGATTTGCTCAACAAAGGCAATATGGCAAGAAAAGGAAATAAACACATACATTGGAAAAAGACACAAACTACGCCCATTTGCAGATCATATGATTGGTTATCTTACAAAAAATCCAGGGAAATTCAGGAACTAAAGCCCATTGTTCATATAAAAATTCTTATATTGGATCGTATCACTAGAATCTCACTTTCCTTGTCTCCTATGCTATCTTCATCTGAGACCCTTCAGTGAAGCCTTAGTTGACTCCACAGCCTTTTTCCATTTTCTGTCTCTGCACATCTTACAGAATGCTTTCTAGATGGTAACTTGTAGATTAGTACACAATCTTATTCGCCTCATGGCATGTGATGGTATCAAATATATACTAGGTTTCTTCTCTACCTGAACCACACGCTTTCTGAGAATATGCATGAGTGTCCAAAGTATTCAGCTTAAGCTTAGTTTGGAATTAGAAACATCCCCTATTTATATTTTTAAAGAATTATTTAATGAATGTGAAGGTTTTTTTTTGTATGCACGTATACATGTGCCCCATGTGCATGTCTGGTGTCCAAGGAGGTCAGAAAAAGGGTAGATATCCTGAAACTGGAGTTATGATAGTAGGAGCTGCCATGTGGCGCTGGGAACTGAACCATGTCATCTGCAAGAGCAGTAAATTACAGCTGAGCCATCTCTCAGCCCCCAGTCCTTATGAAAATAGTTTTTACTTAAGGCCGGGTTTTCTGTGTAACAACCCTGGCTGTCCTGGAACCCACTTTGTAGACCAGGCTGTCCTTGAACTCACAGCGATGCGCCTGCCTCTGCCTCCCAGTAAGATTAAGATGAAAAGAGTGTCCTACATAGAAATAGGGGAGGAAGAGTTTTGAACTCTATAGTCCTCTATTTCCTTGAATTTGCTATCTGCAAAATATAGTTTATATTTGGCTAATATAGTTGAAAATAGGTAATTATTTAGAAGACTCTCTGCCTATGAGAAATATTTAAACTATCTTGTTAATCAAATACTCCAAATTTCAGTTACTTCTTGTTCCAAAAATTATTTCATCTTTTGAAACCCTTAATATAAAATGAGATCATCTCGTCACTATGTCTTGAACACATTAGCTGTTTCCTTACTGATATTTTTTTGGTTCCAAAAGAGGAAACTGCTCCTCTGAAGTAAGGAAGGTAGTTCTGTGATTTCCATTAAGAGAACTGTGCAAGAAAAGCATAGCAGTCCAAGCTAGCCAGTCTTCAGGGCTGCTGGGAAGTGAGGTGACGCCAGGCCTGTCCCACTCAGTCCCAGTGGGTCATTCAGCCTGTGAAGGAGAGGCACGGAAACAGGGCTGCATTTCTCCAACTCCCCGAGGACTATTTAAAAAACCACATAGCCAGAAGGGATTGGTTGAAGTTTTCCAAAAGAGGAGGCAAGGACAACATCCTTTCCCGAACCATAGCAACAGTATCAATTACAAATAGAAGGTTGCTCAGTTTTCTCTCAGTGTTCGCCTTTATCTCTATAAATATCTAAATTCCAACTTCCCAGCACTGAGGCCTTGAGAGGGATGCTACAATGGAATTATACAGTCAACTGGTCTTTAAAACTTAGTGAAAGAATGTTATTTAAATCACAACCCATTCTTACTGTGATCCCTGCTCTTCTTTGTCAACTTGACTACATCTGAAATTAACTAAATGCCAAGCAGTTGGGTACACCTGTAAGGGATTTCTTAATTAAATCATTTGTGGAAGACACACTTTTAATTCGGATCTTTTTGAGGTGGGAAGAACCTTTAATTTGGGCCACACCTTCTGGTGGCAGACTATATAAGGGACATGGAAGATGGAAGCTTTTGTTCTTTGCCTACTTGCTCTCGCTGGCAAGTTCATTCCTTCACTGGCATTAG